AGAATCAAATTTACCATCACTATTCTCTACATCAATTAATGTTACCAATCTATATTAATATGACACAATTTAACTCAAATTCCTTCAAGAAAGTGCGCTCAACATTCTTCTGTGTCTCTCATATTTCTTGTTTGGCAGGATGATCTTGCATCATGGAACCCTTTTGATTTTTTTAAGAGAGTAAATTGAATTTTATTTGCTCTAACTGCATTGCAGATATGCACAGTTTCACACAGGTTTCAAGCTACAGCAGTAGTAGCTGCAGTAGATTTTTACATAATTCCTTTTTGTGACTGATCTTGGGAAAATTTAGCTAAATATATAAAAGGATCCTGACTGAAAAAATGAGGATATTATTAAAATTCACTCTCTGCATATTGACAGGTAATATCATTATAATTTTTACTATTATCATTCTTTTCAACATAAACTGTAAGCACAGTAACAATGGAAAGCATAATAAAAAAATGCCTTTGCATGATATATAAGTAAGTTAACTAATTAAATACAATCCTTGAACACAAATAAATTTGTCAGGTAGTTCTACTTACTTGGGTACTTGTATTCATTTTCTTGCTGATTTTGTAGCTGTGCTTTTTACTCAATAAAACTTATCACATGTGCACAGTAAAATAAAATAAAGTGGTCAAACAGATTTTGGAAAGTGGAACATTTTGGAATTTCTCCGTTGTACACCACCACTATACATTTTAAATAAAATAAAAAAAATAGATGAGGTTGAAGAACAGACTTTCACCTTAAAGGGCTTCACATACTGGACACATAGAAATATTTGGCTTAAAAATATGTTTTTAGACTCACCTATTCTTAATGCAGCCGTTCACACCAAATGCTTATTTGCACATGACAGATTTGCAGCTCAAGCCCAATTTGTCCAACTTTGTGCATGTGACTAAATACACCTGACCAATCGGCCCACTGCATTTGTTAACAAGTGCCCCTGTGTCTCAAAATGCACTGAATGTGCAATGATCTAGATATTTCTATCTTTTCTTGTTTAGAAACGTCACAAACAGCCCATCATTGCTTAGCATTTACTCCACTTTTCTGTAATGCATTTTTTGAGGACATATTTTTGCAAAAGATGCTTTCACTGTTACACAATAAGTTTTTCTTCCAAAAGATTCTGAATTTTTTATGGTTTTGTCACAACATGCTTGGTGCAAAGGCCTTTAATTCAAGTTATTTAAAAAAATGTCTTGTATTAACATTTAGGAATTACAACCACTTTTATCCATAGGCCCCAATTTTTAATGGGCCTAAAGCTGTTGGACAAACTAAAATAATTACACATTCAAGGAATGATTTTAACACTTAGATGAAAATTTGTTTAGGTCAGTGACTCCCTGAAGTCTTGAGCCTATGAACAACACCAAATGCTAAGTTTTCTTTCTTTGACATACAAGGCCTTTACTGTAGCCACAGTGAAGCAGTTGGTGGTCCTGGTGCTGTCTCCAGCAGCGGCTCTGGCTCTGCCTCTGGTGCCGGCTCTGCCTCCAGCACTAGACCACATTTCACAGGTATGTCTCACTAAGAAACACAGAAATAAAGATCCTCAAGTCTTTACATTTATCCTGAAAAAAATAATAATTTGTGCTTTGATTTTTACACTCACTGAGACTCAGTTGGTAGACCTGGTGGTGGCGCTTTCTCTGACGCCAGCACCAGTGGCAGTGCTGCCTCTGGCGATGGCTTTGTCGGCACCCCTCTCTCCAGTGACAGTGACTCATCCACATCCACTCATTCCAAGTGAGGGCTGGAAATATCATAAAATATACATACACATTCTGTTTCATCTATATTTAACAGTATCAGCTGTCAGATCAGAGACTTTCTTAAATGTGAGTTACGCCTAAATATTTCAACCATTGTCAATGGAAGATCACTAGTCCATTTTGGAGACCTGTCCCTCCTTCAATGTCCATATATGAAAAGCTAAAAGAGAGTGCAGCATTGTAGAACAGAGAGGGCATCGGGGATTATAAATATCACACTCATTAAATCTGATATAGCATGAATGGAGGATCTAGGGTGAAGCTATACTGAAAAGCAGCTTGCAGATGTTCATTGGTTGCATAGAAAGGTGTTTAGCTGAGCCATCAAATCAGCCAGATCATCTTGATTTACATTGGAGTTTCAATTTGTGGCCTCTCTGAACAAACATTCAGCTCAACTTTTGAAACAGAGTGTGTGATTTAACAGTCGAAAAGAGAACATTTACTCGCTCAGGATAAACAGACACACAATTTATGGTTTATATTTTTTCGTTTGTATTTATTCAAATCCTCCAACTCCATCTCAGCATGTCGTTGTTGAGAAAGCATCAAAGGAGAGGATACAAGCTAACAAAGAGGTATGTGTGAA